ACGTTCCGACCGCTAGAGACACACAAACACACACACACACACAGGGAGAGTCGCACATATTTGAAGACATAAATAAATGTCAAAAAATGCAGATTACTTATTAACCCCTGTGGCGTGCCACAACTCCAACTCCAACACCAACTCCGTATCCGCCTCCGCCTCCAACACCGCCTCCTGCTCCTGCTCCTGCTCTGACTCCGCCTCTGCTGAATGATGCTAAAGCCGATGCCGATGCCGATGCCCGATGCCTTAGCCGCGATATTATTCATTAATAGAAGCCCGGGACGGGCTCAGCAAGCGCAGTTAACGTTAACCAACCCCCCTCACCCCTACCACCCACCTCTAGCCGGGAACAAAATACAAAAAAAAAAGCGCGCCTCACGCAGCGCTTTTGCCACCTTGAAAGGAGATGTTTGGCTGGGAGAAAATTATTAGCTCTTTGGTAATATTTTCTTGCATAAATTTTTGAATAATTTTTTTTGTTTCGTATTTTTTTTCCGCTCTTGCTCACTCAGCCTCTCTCTCTCTCTCTCTCTCTCTCTCTCTCTGTCTTTGTCTTTCTATGCGTTATTTTTTGGTGTCTTTATAATTTCATATTTGGCAGCGTTATTATGGGCAACGTCGGTTTTTGAGTGTACCCTACCAGAGAGTATTTTAAGTTTGTTGTGAAGTTTGTATCGCATTGAAAGAGTCCATAATGTCTATATATGCCTGGAAAACTTTTATTCTTAATTCGTCTGGCACCCAATTTGAAAACTTGATTATATTTTTATGACAGTTTCGTAAGAACTATTGGTTGAAAGTAACACCTTTTAGCAAGATATTCCGACCAAACATGCAAAAATAATTGGCTTTGGACTATACTGAGGATCAATAGGTCGGTTTTTGTTTTTAAATTAATAATTATATCCTGCAGGAGTATGTAATTTTCGGCGTGCCCAAGAAAGCTGTTCCTTTTTTGTTTTATTTTCAATTTAACCCTCATTGTTGTTATTGCGCTGCGTTTTTTTTTTCCGCAGCTTTCGCGTGTGGCATAAAAATTGAATCCTAATCCATGAATATAGATGATTATTATATGCCTCCATAACACTCCCCATCCCTCCCCCGAAAGCCCCACTTGCAAGCAGCGAGCAGCGGGATGGCAACCATTAGAATATTTTGTCTGTGCTCCGCTTCGCCTTCACCTAACCGAAACAATGAGCAACCACCGAACCACCAAACCACCCGCCCACTCCATCACTTTCCCGTCTGTCGCTCTTTTCGGCATGCAAAAGCAGTGGCAGCATCGGGATCCAGCCAGGAGTCCAACTATATATATATATATATATACATATAGTACACCGGCTCGAAATGAAAACGCCGCCAAAGTTGTCGTAAAATTTTGTTATGACTTTTTCTTATTGCCATTCGCAATTCGCCATTCGTTGTTCGTCGCGTTCTCGAACGCATTCGAAATGTTGTCTGTTGCAGAGGGGGAATGGGAAATGTCGGGGGGGAGGGGGGCAGGATGGACTGAGGCAGGACTCATGCAGATGAGAATGTGTATGCGGATGAGACGGCGAGGTCGTTTTTAAGTTACTTCCTGCTGGTATTTAAGGTTGTAAAAATTGATGGTCCCTCTGCTGCTCAACTCTGCACTGCTCTGCTCCTCAAGCCAGGATAACCGTGTCCTTTTTTTATTCAGCTGTTGCAGTTTGGTTTCTGGGCATAGCTTTATAGATGCCCATCATCCATAGTAGCGTTTTTGGGGACAATGTCTCTAGGAATGATTACTTTCAATTAACAATTCCACAATATTTGCCCAATCAACGTTCAACGAACAAAATTGCATGCAACAAAACCTATTTGTTATACAACGTGCATGCTGGCATGCAAGCAGAAGGAAGTATCTTTGACTCCATAAAGTGTAAATAATCCTAATAAGGATCAACAGCCGATTCGATAGATCCATGCCCGTCTGTCTGTATAGTATTGTATTGTACATATTAGTTAGATAACTTGATAAGCTGTGTGTTTTTTAGTTATATTTCTGCTTATTGTATATATATTTTATAGTTCGTGTCCAGCTTAGCCTGGTAATTCATTCGTGGCGAGTTGGCTGTGCCGGGGAATGGGAAAAATCACATTCTAATTTTACACTGAAGACGTCTTATTGCTTACAAATATGTAGATGTAAACAATTTGAAGTTCTCAACTCAGGCAGGCACCCTAAGTCATCAAATACAGAAACAAATTGCTTGCAAAGCAAACTATTATACATTGTTCGTTACTTTTATCGGAGATATAATTAACTAACATGATCAATGTGGCACATGTTCTTATTGGTCAATTTATGCATATGAAGCACATTGCATTTTTGATGAACTATTGTGATATTTTCAAAACTAACTAATGTATCACTTATTGGTCATATTTTTCATTTCAACTTTGGCAATACAGCGATTATAGTTTGCACCTCTGAACGCCTGCCCAAATGCTTAGCTAAGCATTGTTTTTATTTGTTTGCACAGCAAATAAATAAATTATTAGAAAATTAACAATTTTTTCCAATTAAAACTACAACTAAATTACAAATGCATTAAATTTGGTCACACACACACGCACACACACACACACACGAGCGCTTAACGAGCAAATAATAATGGCCGCAGCATTTGTAATAACAATAATGAAAAGCCATTTGGCCATTTGCTGGCCGGGCAACTGCTATAACAATTAATTAACAAATAAAATGTCAATTAATTTTACAAACACTGCGAGAACAAGAAAAAAAAAAGAGAAAAAAATAATAACAATAAAATTTACACAATACACACACACACACGTTACGCATACGCCGCGTGATGCCGCGTCCAAAGCATAGCAAATAAACCCGTCGACATTCGCACAATGAAAACCAAAAAGCCCACAAACAAAAAATACAAGTAACCGTGCTCTAGTCAAGAGAGATTGACTATCACATACCCTGTCGTCATGAATTCACCTCTCCACAGAAATGAAAATTCAAACAGTGACTCAAATGTGAAATACTCCGCAATTGTATCTGCTATAAAATAAAATATAAAATAAATAAAAAATAAAATAAAATATAACAGGCAAAACCAATGTAATTCATTCAACTCTTCTAAGTGTTAAGATATGCACAGAGAGAGAAAGTTGCAGAAAGGCAGTAGAAACCTTGATTTCAGAAGAACATACGACAACTTATTATAATTTTCATACATTTTTACCAATTTTAATGGGTGCAGGATATAAAAACACACTGAAGTAGAGCAGCGCAAATTTGCTCATTTATTTATGATTTCAATTTCAATATTAAAGGTGTGCGTGTGTGTGTGTGTGAGAGAGTGTGTGTATATCTGGGCTGTTGGTGGACAGTGGTGAAAACATTTTTTGGTATTTTAAATATTTAATTGAATGATAAATAAATTTAAGCACTGGCATGCATAAATATAGCCAAGAGCAAAAGAGATAGAGACTGTGCAAAAGACATATGTGGAGACAGAGAGCGAGAGAGTGAGAGATAGAGAGAGGGACAAAGAGAGAGAGGGGACAGAGAGAGCGAGAGAGAGAGAGAGAGGGAATGAGAGCACGAGTTGCGAAAAGGAATAATATTGTAAATTGTGCGGTTTCCGGAGGTACCGGAGGGGTCGTTTGGTTCTGGCCAGCAAAAAAAAAAAAGGCCAAAACCAATGACTGTGCAGCGGTCACATAAATATTTTTACAACAGACAGACACACACACACACACATATAAATACACAAACACACACATGGACGTGCCGCCGCCATTTTGTTTGAGGACAACGGCCGCAGACACAAATGCAATTTAATTATTACATTTGGCTTTTGGCCCCTTTCGACATCTCCTTTTTTTATGCGGCGTTTATATATATATATATATATATATATATATGAATTTTATTTTACTCCACACGTATTTATTTACTTATTTATTTAAACATTTATTTATTATATTTACTTGCGCCACCCTCAAATCACAATTCATTTTCCCACCTATCTTAAACCTATGATATGACAGATGGTATTATAAATATCCCACGAATTGTATAAAGTATGGAGTATGAATGGAGACATTTCAAAGCCCGTTAGCCAGGATAATTAAGCTCGTTTGTTGTATTTATAATCTTCGATACTCTTCGATTCTGCTGTTCCTTAATAGTTATGGCTACAAGTTCTTATTAAAAAAGAGAATTGAGCATTTGCAACCTAAATTTTTTATTCAACACATTCGTAATTTGAATCAATCGTTTTGTACTTTAATCAATACATATTTATTTTACTATTTTTCTCTCTGACCTATCTCTGACACGACTTATAAGTATTTATTGTATAATTTACAATTTCAAACATTTAACTGTAAGCTAACAATTTTAAGACCTGTTGCTAAGAATATGTATTGATACACATACTATATATAGCTGAAATCATTTTATCTGCCAGGATATTAAATATACAGGCTTACTTTTCTGAAGTTTTTAAGAATTTATATCTTGAAGAACTTTAGTACAGCTTTCCCACACTTCGCTTGAAAAATAATATAAAACTTTATGTTTTTAATATTGACTGGGGTGCTTAAAAGGGGTGGGAGTGAAAGTGGGCTTGAGTTGTGGGTGTGCCATATTTCCCAGGTTTATAGAGTCTTACAAACAACTAACACAAAGTTCGAAATATGCAAAACAGCTGAGCAGCAGGTTAGGGGAATTGCCTGGTGCTTGAATAATTACCTGGGGAATAAGTCAGACTGTCTGTGTATATGAATGTGTTTGTGTCTATGTGCATTGGCGAGATAGACAAAAATTATAGCAAGTCGAAACTGGCTGGTTGCTAACTGTCACCCAAGCTTGAATACTGGCTGAATCTGTATATTGGATGCGTTGTAGTTGCACTCCTAGAAAATATTATCAATCTCACCGGTTGCAAGACGCCATATCCGACCTCGTGATGCCCCTGATCGGAAAACAACCGCTTAAGCACATGCTCATTCTGTTTATTCAGTTATCTCTATAATTTGTTACAAACTGTGCTGTATATCGAACTCGTAATAGATTTCTTTCTGCTACAGATGCATCACATCTTGGGATCTTGTTAATCAGAGCAATGCAGTCCTCTCGGGGAATGGAGCCTTGGCAGCTGTCAAATTGCTTAGGCAGCTCCTTATTCCCTCCGAAAACTTCAATAATCTGCGCTCAATTGGAGCTGCCTTCGTAGCCTTGGATTACGTGCTCCAAAATATTCACACACACAAAGTAAATGTATATATATTTAAAGCAATACATGCTAAATTTCAAGAATGTCAGAAAGTCATCAGACATGCTAAAATAGTTCAACGAACAAATTTTGAATATGTTTTACAAATCTGAACGAATTACAACAAAAAAAAACAAACAAAAAATTAACATCATGAGGCATAGCCACATCTGTTTTTTTGTTTTTTATCTCACTAACAAAAGCGACAGTTTTCAAATATTGGAAGGAGAAACCTGACCACAAAAAATATTCCTTCTATCTTAGCCAAATCGGATTTTTGTTAACTTCCCAAGTTCAAATTGGATTTAAACTTTCTCTTTTTATGCTTTTAAGTTTTAAAAAGAAGCTCATTTATATTTGGTAACATTGATCTCACCGATTTCTTCTATGCAATAAAAAGTTTTGTAGTTTAGCAACTAACGAATATATCAGACTAATATGAACTTTGAACTTTGAATAAAACAAAAACAAAAAAAAAAATATATACAAAAATGAGAAAACCAGAAACAAAAAGATGAAGCAAATTATGTAAAATTTGACAATTTCTTAGACAATTTATGGCACTTGTGGGAGGCATAGACGCTCTCATGTTAAACTTGGCTGCAGATACGAGGACATTTAAAGAGTTTATGGCACACACACACACACACATAGGTATTCACATGTGTGTATATTGCTACATATCAAAATGGCAGGCGACTTATCCCGCTTATCAGGAGGAGGCACACCTTCGCCTCTACGGGGAACGACTGGGAACGTTTACATAAATTCATAAAATTATTGCCCGTAATCAGCATTATGCATTTGAAAAAACCGCAAAAGAGAAAGCGGTGGTGGTGCTGGCAAGCCAAGTAACGGCAAACGGGAGGGGGTGGTGGGTGATATGGTGGTTTGCCTGATAGAGCTGACTTTTTGCTGGCTAGAGGGACGTTTTGGGGTTGGGTGAGGGGTAAGGGGTGCGGAGGAGAGTGTTGCAGGATTCATAATTACAAGAAACGTCTCGCCCCGTTCCCGTTTTGGTTCTGGTTCTGGTTCTGTTTCTGGTTCTCACTTGATTTGCCAGCAACATTTTCTTTTTAATTATTTATATTTTGGGATTTTTAGCAGGCAGCTCACGATTCAAAGGCAAGTTTTTCCTCATACACACATAGGAAACCTGTATGTTTGTGTGTGGATGTGTGGGTGTGTTTGTGATGGGGGTGTTATTTGCATACATCAAAATGTGTGATGCCTGCCTGTCGACTACCGACAATATCTTTTTATGCTCTCTCGCCATGTATGAACACGTATGTGCTTCTAAGGCGTAAGCAGCCCAACTCCTCCCAAAAACCACCCCACCCTGTGCCTGTCTCTGTCCCTAACCCTGCGGCTGAGCCCACCCCATTGGCATGTGTTTTATTAGGCATGTTAATTAAAAGACATGAAATGAAAATAATGAAAAATATATATGGATAAAAATTTTTATATGCATATATGTAAATATAGGTACATATATAGATGTATGTACACACACACACACACACATACATATAAATATGTGTACATATTCAAGTCATATTTACCATTCACATATATGAGGTCGGCATTAAACAGGCATTATTGCTCACTGATACCAGTTTCTGGGTTCAGTTTTCGGATCAGGTTGTATTTCGGGATTTACACATAAAGTCGTTAGCTAATATTAGGGTTGGTGGGTATGCAAACGCTTTGATTTGCAGCTGCCTCAAAGAGTTAGCGACAACACTTCAGCACCTCAGCACAGCTTCTTCCCCGTTCCATGAATCCACTTTTTAGACCCCTCCCCCCCACACACACCAATTGGCGCCGTTAGCCCAAGTTGGTAACATTTTTATCGCCTTATTAACTCATTGCTGTGGTGTCAATTTACAACAATGCCAAACAACAACAGCAACTCAAGTGAAACAATAGCAAAATGTTGCGTCTCCAAGTTCAGTCACCCAACTGAACAGCCCAAACCACGCAATCACCCAATAAAGTGCCAGCTAGCACCACACCACACCTCCCCCCGCCCCCTCCCTCCCATCCCATCACACCTCCTTTGTCTCAATGTGCCTTTGTTGCGTAGGTGTTGAAAAAAGAAAGTTTCAGTTGCCGCACCACCCAACCACCCAACCAGGCAACCACCCATTGCCCGTGGACCGTCTTAAGTGTTGCTAATAACGCCTACAACTAAGTAAAACAGCTGCCGGGGTATTTCAACATTTCTACAATGCGCGATGGTAGAGGCGGTGCTCGGCTATGGGCGGGGCAGGGGCGACACTTTTAAGAAATTGCAAAGTTTTCCATCTAACAAAAGGCGAACGAAAGGCTGCGTGGTTGCGAGTGGGTGGGTGGTTGGTTGGGTGGTGAGTGCGTAACGGTAACGGAAACTCCACAACAATACTTTGATGCGATTTTGTGGATATTAGGTGTTAATTTTTCAAAGTACCACTCCCCAACCCCAACCCCAACCCCAACACCAGACCCCCACCCCGGCCAAGACACTGGAGGGGCTGGCTGCTTAGGTATTGCCATGGCCACGTCTGCTGCCTTTTGTAATTTTAACTGCTTTTGGTTAACACTTTTACGCATTGCCGACTGCTGTGGGCGACCCACTTGGCTCTGGCAGTGGATGACATCGATATCACATGGCAGCACTCAAGCAAATATACCCATGCCCCCAGCACACCCAAACCCTCTCCCCTCCTCCATACAACGTAACAAACGTTGAAAAGTCATCGATGGGAAAACTTTTGGACAACTTTTTCTTCGCTTGCGTTTTTTATGCGCTTAAATTGGTCCCAGGAGTCTGCAGTAGCATAGAAAGCCGGTCGGTAGGGGGATGAGTAGGGGTTGATAACAAGCATTGAGTTACTAGCCACCCCTAGTCCCCTCTCTATTGTAAAGCTCCGCTCTCTGCACGAAAACGCGCGCGTTTCTGCCATTTATTGAGCATTTTAGCCTTTCATCGATGCTTTTTGGCTGAAATTATTTGGCTCATTTTAATTATTATAACCGCTAAGTACAGGCAGCAACAACAATGCCATACACAAGCACCCACCTAACCACACACACCCACACACACACACACAATGAAGTTTTTTGGCAGTGCCAATGATGACGGGCTTCATGTGCTAATGTGGTGTCTGCCTGCAGAGAGGGAGCCATCAGCAGTGAGAAGTGGGGAGCAGTGAAGGGGTTGTGGAGCAGTGGAGGCACACAAATTTTAACGGTTATGAGCAACGTAGGGTCGTTCAGCGGGCAGCAGCAGAAAGTGGGCCATGGGAATGGGAGTGGGAATGACTGGAAATGAGTTTGTCGATTCGAGAGGCTTTGTTGTAATACTCGTTGTGGCATTGCTGTTCCTTGGATGATAGGTGCTAGATGCACGTCCCGCTTACAGCCGAGAGTGGAAAGGGTTATTTGTTACTTGGGTCAACCAAGACTGATTAGTGTGGACCAATTGTTATAGCCAACTCTAATATGCACAGTTTGAAAAGCCTCTTTCAGGCCTTGACTTGAATTGTTATTTCCCAAGCACTTCACACAACTAAATTTGTTTCCTTTTTTCTATGGTACGTCGTTCTTAAATAGTTAAGTAACGATGTGAATATAAGTAGAAAGTATAAGTGAAGTGCTCATTTCAAGCACTAAGATGGACAGAATTATTCACTTTCTCACTTACAAAAGTAGGCATAGTATCATAAGTAATCATTTTGATCAGTTATACGTGCAGAGTTTCGACTTTCATTTCACTATTCGATTGATAGATATTCTCTTGAAATGTGTGTTTATTTCTACATTATTATTGTCATTATCCTTTTGGCGATCATTGTTCTGGTGATCTTACAGACAACACAGGCGGATCAGTAAATTTCAATTGGAGAGCTGGCAGGTACGTTAAATGATTTGAACTTTTCTCCAGTACTTTATGGAGTTTTCTAAGTGAATGCACTCTCCAAAGACTTCAGACTTAAATCATGGTGTTTTATCAAGTCTCGACTGCAATAATAATATCTATGCTATAAACTATTAAGCAATAACGTTTTGGCTTTCAGTTGTCTAACATATATACATACGTCTACCGTTTAAAAATCATATATTTTTTACTGCATTATTATTTTTGCAATGCATTAATTTTTATACCCTGTAGAATGGGTTGTGTCATATTTAGAAAAGTAGTAGAAAGCATATTTGATTCTCTGATGCATCTCCCCGGCACTTTCTACCCCTTTGAGTGCGTGTGTGCTCTCAGCCTCTCCTCTCGGTCCCTCTACTCTACTTTCCTCTCTGTGCTGCACTCGTGGGCTCTCTTGGTGCTCAGTTATATACCTGACAATTGCATTTTTCCTGCATGCAGCGCTCTTTTTCTCACTCTCTCTCTCTCTCTCTCTCTCTTTGGTTGGCTTTGTCCGTTGTTGGTTGCTATAATTAACTGAATATTTATTACTGCGGTAGATAAAATGTTATGCGGCTATTATTTTAGTTTTATGACCAAGTGAGAAGCCAACAAGCAGCCCAGCCAGGTGGGCTTTAGCCGAGCCAAGTTAACGGCCAACAAGAACATCAACAACAACAAAATGGTGGCTGCAATTTGAACGAACGGCAGGGATGCAAGGTGGGTGTGCCATGAACATGAACCTGAGCCAAAATGCATTTATACGCACTGTATCTGGCAGCCGGGGGACACAAGCCACTGAGCAAGCGCAACCAATTAAGCCAACAGCAATGCGCAAGCTGAGGCGACCTAAGTCGACAGTCGACTACCGAGTTGCAGTCCGCAATTGCGATTCGGATTGGGTTGCTTACGGGAGGAAGACACACATTGAAAAGACGGCAATAAAATAAAATAAAATAAAATAAAATAAAAGAACGTCGCTAATTGTTTTAAGGCCGCCAAGAACATCATCTCAACGGCAACGCTCCGGCAATAAGGTGTGAAATTCAAGCGCATGAATCCAAGACACAGACAAAGTCGACGCCCAAGAAGTTTTGCAAGTTGTTGAGTTCCCCTGCTCCTGTTCCTGCTCCTGCTCCTGCTCCTGCTCCTGCTCCTGCTACTCCTTGCTGCTGTATATGCCAAGCTTCTGGTATTCCTGTCTCCTGGTTGCTGCCATTGGATGCCCTGAGCCAGTTGATAAGGATAAAAAGTTGGCGTACTGTTCGCTTGCTGGCCCGTAAAATAATAACGACAAGAAAATTACGCATACGCTGTGTTGTTTTACATTGTCTACGTGCGGCGGCCAAATAAGACGGCTTATTAATATTATTACTCATACGCCATGCGGCCCCATCAGGGCACCCATCAGGGCACACTCCCAGCCCCAAGCACAAGGGCAAACTGCCTGCTGTTGCTGCTGTTGCTGTTGCTGCTACTGCTGCTGCTACTGCTGCTGCTGCTGCCTCCGGCGACTTCTGTTGCCATATAATTATAATTGTTTAATGAACTGCATGGGGCTCTGGCCCCAGTAGCAAAGATATGGCCGCCAAATGCGCCAGCTTGTGAGCACTGATTGAAGCCAGACCAACTGCTTTACCCCCCTCGTGGGCGTGCCAAATGTAGGCTCATTCGATTGGGTTTTATTGAGCAGAGCGAGAGCAATACATAAATATATAAATACATAAATATATATATAGAAAATATTGAAATACGATAGCAATTTGACCTTGTGCTTATGAATTCTCCGTAAAAAAGATTTGACAATTGCACAATTTCGCTAAAGATATATAAATCCTTTGCCGATATATATATATATATATATATATATATATATATATATAAATTATATAATGACCCGAGTTTTCAGATTGCCTGGAGCCTAATGGCTATGAATAACCCGGTGCTGGGCAGTCGTTTTCAGCTGTTGCCATCGATTATTTAGCAAATATATTTTGTATTTTGTGCAGCTTACAAATAAAAATATATTCTAATTTTTTTCGCATAAAACCTATTTCTTTAATCGGATTCTAATTGGTTTCACGTGAACAAAATTCACTTATCCGCAATGCAATCAGTAGAGCACAACCGCGTTACTTTCCGATTGAAATTTGCCAATTGAAAGTGTAGCCGTAATAAATATCGTGCAATTATATTTGTGTTTATTATTAATAATGACATAATTATTGCAAATAGTAAAAATAATGACAATTGTCGCAGCACGTTACCAAAACAAGAAGAAACAAAAAAAAGCAAAAAATCGCTGACAAATTTTAACACTGCAACCTAAAAACTATAGACTTAATTCGAAATTAATTTCCGCAGCAATTTGACGATAACAATTCGACACGCAAGGCTGCCCAAACGCGAACACCCCATAAATAGGTAATTCTCTGCGGGATTGGAGCACACTTCTCGACGAGAAACACAGCTGGAAAGATGCGTCTAACTATCAGTTACTTCTTGACCCTACTCCTGGTGCTGTTCTGCAGCAACGCTTATGTGGTGAGTCTCTCAATTGTGATCTGCATCGGTGACGTGCCACCACCTAACGCACACCCTTTTACTCCACTCTCACTCCCATAGAACGCTATGCCGCAAGGTCCGTGCGGTCCACCACCCAGTGGACCGCCTCCAAGTGGTCCAAGGCCGTCGGGACGGCCACCAGGCGGTGGTCCTTGCGGATCGCCGCCATCGACTACTGCGGCAACTGGCTAGGTGGACCCCAACGAAACCGATTCCCATCTGGCTACCCTGGCACAACCATAAATTCAGCAAGCAACTCTGCCCTGGATTCAGGATTCTGTTTTTTTTTTGTTTGTTTTTATAACCATCTTGTACCTCTTCAATTCTTTTGATTTGTAGACCTAAAATATATATTTCACTAATCAGCAAGCGATAAAACAACTGAAGGTTCACTGATGACAGCAGGATAACTCATCTTATTCAGAAAGTATATGTATATCTAGAACAGAAGGTTGTGTCTCTTTAGCAACCAGAGATTGCATTTCTACTTTTTATTATTATTATTTATTATTATTATTTGTCGAAATGAAACGAGAGCTGAGTATAAAAGTTGATTGAATACGACAAAATTGTAGTGAGAAAAGGATTGCAGGGAAGCGATTGGGCCGCTTCCTTGCCCAGACTGGAGCAACGCCATTTCCAGCTGCCACCCCCCTGTTTGCTCTGTGGAAAGTTTGGACCAAGCTCAGTCCAGTTGAGTGCTCTTTTAATTTGCCGTTCAATTCCACATTCGTTTCGGGTGTTGAATTTTTAATCACGCGCACGCCTGACCCCAAAATATAAAGCAGAACTGCCGATGTAGTTAGGGGCGTCTGGAATGGAGGCTGGCAGGCTTCAGTTGCAGCTGTACATTTGAATATGCAAGGCAAGCCACTGAGAGCGAGACGAAGTCTGGCCAATAACACACACACACACACAAACATACAAAACAGGTCAACTCAATTTGGTCAGTAGCCAGCAGTCCAAGGGCCCCTGCCCACAAACCGATCCAGTGGAGCGCCCAACGCTTTAAGTTTAGCTCATTAAATAATATCCTTTTTTGGCGACGTACGAAAAGGGCACAAGTTGCAACGGTGGGCGGGGAACACAGAGCGCGGGGGAGGGGGGTGGGGAAGTGAGGTTGTCCTGGCGAGGAACGGACGATGCTTATCAAAATGTTGCCGCTACCCTGTCGAACGGGTTGCTTAGTGGATTGAGGGGCTCGCCGAGCTTCTTTTGGGACATGGTTCATGGCGCAGTCGATGCGTTTGGCCTCTGAGCTGCGGCACTTTCTGGTCAGCCCACGTGGTGGTCAGCAGTCAGTCCCTCTCTCTCTCTCTCTCTCTTTGTCTGTTTGTCTCGCTCTTTCCCTCTCTCCCACTCTCGCTCTCTCTCAATCGCCCTTGTTTTATAGCTGGGACAGTTTTTGAAAACGCTTTTAAATATTAAAATCCATGATGATTTCCAACAGAACATTTTCGCCATATAATTTTGTAGTTCGTTTGCTCGGCATTCGAGTTTGAACTGGGGTTTGGGATTGATGTTGGGGGGTTGGAGCTGGTGCTGCCGCCCGTTGCGCATATTGAATTTATTTAATTAAGGGTTCCATGTGGCACACAGACTACAACCATCTCTCTCTCCCTCTCTCGCTGCCTCTGTCTCTGCCTCTGTCTCTGCGAGCTGTGTGTGTCTCTCAGCGCCTCGATGACTCCATTTTCAAAAGTATGCAGCGATTCTTTTTGTTTTTTGTGTGTTGCTGTCCCGCTTCGCTGCATATCTCACAATAATTTGCACAAATGGACATCCCCAAACCTCCCACTCCACCCCCCGGGGGCGAATACGTGTCCATAACTGTGCATAGTTTCGCCTCGTTTCGCTTGCCGCCATGTTGAGAACAGCGAACTGGGAACTGGCAACTGGCAACTGGCAACTCGCAACTGGCAACTGAGGAGTGGCAACTATGGACTGTTTGCAGCTTCCGCACATGGCTGAGAAGCAGTGCTTATGAAGAGATGCTGTGTGAGGCTGTCTGACTCTTTGACATGTCACTTTTCTAGTGACTTTCTGCTGTAATTCTCAAATGGAATTATATGCAAAATTTACAACAAAAAAACAAAAACAAAACAGAAAGAAAAAAGAGAAAAGAGAAAAGAGAGACACAAGTGTTTCCCGAATGGAAGCGCTGACTTGTGTGCTTTCGATGTAACTCGAGTTCGAGTACCGTTCACAGCTACAATTGGATAATTAATAGACGTCCAGTGGATCCAGTGGCAGGCGGCACCCAAATCAAATGGGCTTCCAAATAATCGGCCACGAAAACCGCTAATATGCCAACATTGGCGTTGCCGCAAAAAACGCGACCAAAAATCAACACACAAAACACACAACACAGCGCCAAAAGCAGCAGCAACAACAACAACAGCAGCAGCAACAACAACAACAACAGCAACAACAAGAATAATAACAGTAGCGGGGCCAATTGTGGCATGGGGCCTGCCCGTGTGGCATGCGGCATATGCCACACGGCATAGTCAGCCAGTCGCAGTCAGTCAACATATGCATGTGTGTGTCTGCGTGTGTGTGTGCGTGTCTGAGTGTGTGTGTGTGTGTTTGTTTGTGTTTGCAGGTAATGTTGATCAACGCATGCACAGCTTAAAGCCAGATAGAAAGCAGACAGCTGTAAATACCCTTACTCAAAGCAAGTCTGGAGAGAAACTTAACACGACGAGTATATTATTATTTATTTTTTATTATTATAATAATGTATTATTATTTTTGTATTATTATTTACATTATATTATTTGGTTTTTAGTATTGGTATTTTTTACGTTTTTAGTTCAGTTTTACTTGCAGCTATTGGAAATTGCACTTTATTAAATCCTATAATAATCTGTACAGATCTACATCCATTTATCATAATTTGATAAGAAGTAAACATGCATTCGATTAATATAGTATTGATAGTAATAAATCTGAAACTTATATATCAACTTAAATATAATATCAGTGAACTTATGAGTAATGATGGATTAGTGTGATTTAATTTGAAGTTGCTAAGGATGCACATTTTGATTATAGTATCTATAAGACATGAGAATTACGTACACGCTTGCACTTACACACCATGTGGAAGTTAATAGACTTCTTTGTCCAGTGTATGACAATGCAGCAAAAGCAACAGAGTCTCAGCCTAAGTGGAGGGATGAGGGCCGAGGACGATTTTGGCTGTTGGCTGGGCGAGAGTGAGTCGCGATAATAATGATAAACATCACGCTGGGCAGGCGTGAGGCAAGTGGCAAATGGCAGGAGGTGCTAAATGGGAGACGTGAGGCACCAGTTTGTTGTTGCACCAAACTCAGACACACACACGACGGAGAGAGAAAGCTGTGGAGGTAAGCAGATAGCGAGAGTTGTTGATGGATTGAGGGGGGTATGGTGATGGGGGAGTGGTAGGGGCAGGGGCAGGGCGTGTAGCCCTGCACTTTCGCTACTGCTCGATACAACGCGACTACGTCAAAAAGTTTGTTTTGACAAATGATGTTGCCAGTGCTCTGACTCACACACGCTGTTAAGTCCTACAACATTTGGTGTCCTTGGCCCCACTGCTGTCCAGTGCCCACAGCCTACACACACACACACACACACACACATACACACACACACATACAGATACAGATATATGTATTCCAGGGACTTTTGCCTAATGAACTTTTGTTCGCCTCGACGACAATTGACAACGAAATTATGACCTGCAATGACGTCACACACACACACACACACACTCCTGCTGTCTGACAGCTGTGTGTCCTGGGTTATCATTATGCAATCATTTGGCAAACGCTGGCAGCTCAACAAGTCGCGCGTTTCTCAACACTTGAGCGAATTGAATTTGAAGTTCAGCTCAACTCAACTCAAATATTATTAATAAATCTAACATGAATCACACTTTCAATGTGGAAACTAGCACGGCAAATCGACTTAAACAAAAACCGCAGAACAATAAAAACAATTCACATATTTAATCTTGATTCAATTTTCAATCTGGCTTAAATATATTGTTTACTACTAATTGGCTTAAACTACTATTTTTATCTGTTCGGCTTCGGCTCTTAAAAAACTTACAGCACAATTAAATTTTGTATGTATAACTATGAACATTAGCTAACAATTTTATGTGTAGTTAAAATATATTATATTTTCTTATTATTCTTATATTATTATTGTATATTTATTATTATTATTATTGATATTATAATAATTATTGTTATATTGTTATTGTGATTAATATTATGATTATTGTTATTATTTATAAATGTTTTTATATATACATATTAATACAAATAATTGATTTCATATTAAGTGAAAACTTTTTTAGTTCAATTAACGATAATCGATTTTACTTGAAAATGCTTACAATAAACATGATAAGCATAAAAATTTCTTTATATTTGGGGCTTTTACAATTAACAATTTGTCACCTGCTTTTATATTCATAAAATAAGCTTATAAGAACACTTTGGTATTAGCCACATGGTCAAGAAGTCCTTAAGTCTTCAAATGCCGCCTTCAATTTTGGTTTTGATATATGAATATTGAACAAATTCAAAATGAAAACTTTGTAAACTGTTGGAATCTCAACTTGAATAGTTTTAATTTAAAACTAGATGCAAATAGTTATACATTTATATATATATATGTAAATATATATTCGTGTTTACATCTGCATATATTTATTTACTTAAAGAATAAAACAATCGAATCAAATTCTGCTCCCTCGATTTGCTTCGAAAAATGAGTTCGGCTTCCCACTCAAGAGCAGCCGCATTTCACTCAACTTCTCCGCCAGAGAGGCAACAGTTTTTCGAAAAGGGGAAGCTCTTCGAAATTGAGTATTTCTAACTGGGTGCGCAGCGCCGCACACGAAACCGCTCAATGAGGGGCAATCGCTGAGTTGCTGAGAGAGTGTGTGAGTGAGCGAATGAGTGAGTGTGTATGTGTGCATGTGTGCATGTGTGCATGTGTGTGTGTGTGTGTGTGTGAGTGAGTGAGATAGCAGCGCGTCGAGCAGCCAGCTTAAACTCTCTCTCCAAGCATTGCAAGGGGGCAGGGCTTCACACTCAGCCAGCTCCACTTCACTCCACTCCACTCCACTCCCCTCCTCTCCTCCTCCTCGCTTCTCCTCTGCACCGATTTCTTCAATAGATCAAATACAAATGGCGTCCAACTCGGCGACGACTTCATCAATTTTCAAATCAAATATTTCAATATGCTCACAAATAGTCTTATATGTTTAAATATATATATAAATATTAATATTAATATTTATTTATACAATTATATTTATATTTATTATTTTTGTTTTGGCCACTGTTGGCTTTGGCGTATTGAAC